AGGAGGTCCCTGCCATGGTTCACACAGCCTTGCCCTTGGAGAGCATGGTGGGGGTTGAGCTACATAGAGAGTGGGTGAGCATGCACACAGGCAAGCGTGAGCGAGTGTCAGTGTCACTGGGGTGTGTGCGTCCGTGCTGCAGAGAGCTGGCTTCCTAGTCCTATGGATGCGCGGGTCTGACAGGGTTCTGTCTCCTCCAGGTCGGTGGGATTTGCCCTGAGAACCTGAGGGAGGCGGCTAGGTGCTCTGCAAGGTTTGCCGAGCACTTCATCCCAGGCTCAGAGAGGTTGAGCTACTCAGCCAGGGTCACAGAGCTGCAGCGAGTGAGTAGCATGGGTGGGAGAGCCCCCAGTCAGTGGGCCTCAGCGGGGAGTCCCAGGGCACCCCCAGCCTGTGTCTCTCCGCTCCCTGGACCCAGCCCGTCCCCAGCTCTGCAGGTGTCAGCCCGGTCGGCGGCCCGGACGGGCTCTTGGGAACACAGAACACGTAGAAATGAGGGTTTGAGGGCAGTGGAGCATCTGGGGGCTCGTGGCCACCCCCCCGCACTCCCGCAGGGACGCACTCACACCTGCGCACGCACAGCACGCAGGCGCTTCGCTGGCTCTGCACCCTGCAGAAGCTGCGGTTCTCTCTGAGGTCTGGCCTCGGAGTCCGTCCCTGCGACGCCCCCGCGACAGCTGCTTGGTTTTGAATGCCAAGGGGGCGCCGCTGGTCAGCAGGGAATATTTTTATGATAAAAAATGAGCCGTGTTGCATCAGTTCTGGGGAGGGTGGGAGCCATCACCGCAGGTCACCCAGGCAGACTGATGAAAATTCTGCTTATGAAGTCGCTGCTCCCCCATTAATTAGGGGGGAGGGGGGCGCGCCGCACCACGGCGCACCTCACCCACGGCCAAAAGCTTGTCAACACTTTCCACGAAGAATGAAAATGTAAATAACTTTCAGATTATTCAATGTCACCAAGGTATGGAAAAAGGTCGGGACGCTGGGTGTCATTTATCTCGTTGTGGATTTAAAGAGCTTTTTTCTATTAAATTTCTTAAAATTAATGTTTTATGTTGCTCAGAGTAATTTGAACAATTATAGGCTTAAAGAATTGATCATTACAGCCCCTGGGATTTAGCGCTCCAGAATGATTCCTTTGAAAAGCCACTGATTTATCGTTTTGCTACTCAACCCGGCGAGCCCCCGGGACTGGGACCCTCAACCCTCTCCTGCCCCAGCCCAGGGGCCATTCTCCAAGACAAACCCACCCATTCTGCAGGCAGATGGTGAGGAAGGAGGTGAGGAAGGAAGGGGAGCCAGTGTGTCCCCCGGTCTCAGGCAGAGAGAAGTGTCTCTGATTCGGGAGGGACCTTTGAGCTTTCATCCCCTGGGCAAATTTTATGTTTAAAAGGAAAGAGTCCTTTAATGTATTGGTCAAAGTTATTATTTTTATTTTTCAGGTATTTACATTCAAAAGTTAACAAGAACATGGTAATATGTCAAGATAAGTATTCTGTTTATGTTAAAATTGAATGTTCTAATAATTATGATAAAGAGGTTACCGTTTTAAAAAAAAGTTAACCCTAGTCCCCCACAAAAAAAGCTCCAGTGGGTCCCATGTCCCCTCCGGGTGCCTCCCAGCTGGAGCCCACAGTTCCCCTCCTGCTCCGGCAATTTCGGGGTCCTGGGCCGACAGGCGCCACCCCGCACCCACCGCTTCACAGTGCCCTTTCCCTGCTCGGTTCCTCACCAACAGCGTCCCGACCCAACCCATGGCCCAAAGGCCTCTCGTGGGCGGGTCCCCTTCGAAGCCGGAACCCCAGGGCCAGACCTTGGGCTGGGAGCTGGGCGCCCCCCCACCGCCGGATTTTGCAGGGAGATGGGGTGCTGGGAAGGTGCATTCTGGTCTGAGACACACACCTAGATGCTTCCCTCCAGTTAACAAGGTCCATCATGGGAAATAAGTTGCGGTGGGGCCGACAGATGGGACATCTGCCTTCCCCTGCAGATGGCCTGCAGCCCGAGGTCCTCTCCACCTGAGGTCTGCCCCGCCCACCTCCTCACTGAGGACCCCGGCCTCCTGGTGTTCGGGCTTCTGCCCGCTGAGCGGTACCTGGAGGTGGGAGCCCGCATATCTGCTTGGGCAGTGGGAATAATGTGAGAGCAGGAACTTGGCTCAAATGGGGAAACTGAGGCCCACAAGGAAGGCAAACGAGCACTGTCAGTATAACCGAGGGTCTGATCCAGCTGAGCAACCATTAGCAAGCCTTGGCGGGGTCCACTCTCCTCCCCGCGCCCTGGGGGGCTGGGCCTAGGACCCCGGATGCCGCCTGACGCACCGCCAGCTGGAGCCAGCGCAGCCGGGACCTCAAAACAGGCAGAGGGCCCCAAGGGGACACTTAGCACTTTATTAACCTGTCAGCGCCTGAAAGGTCCCAGGCGGCCTGGGGGAGGTCTCCAGGCTGGGGGATGGGGGGGCGTGACTAGAGGATTTACACCCCCCTCAGGGCTGCCAGAGGAGACAGCGTCTGCCCTCGGCCTCCACGGCCCCCTTCTCAAATCCTGAATCAGATCCAGGCTCAGACACTTTACCTTCCGGGTTGCCTGTTGCCCCTCACCACCCCCAAAGAGTCCAAAGCGGTTCCCTCTAGGACCCGGCCCCACCTGCTGCTCAGCCACGCCCCTGGCATTCCGAGGCCTTTGACCACCAGCCCCCAGGACAGCCAGGGAACCTTGCCACACCTCTGCTCACCATCTGTCCTGATGGCCCCTGTGCCACCCGGCCCCACTTCTGCTCATCACAAGTGCCAACTCTTCCCTGGGCGCTCCCCAGACTGAAGGGCACTGGGGGCCCTTCTCCCACCTCCTTTCTTCTGAGAGCCTCCCCTTTCCTCGACCTGTTATGCCTCTGCCCCATTAGATATGAGACCCCAGCAACATTCCTTCTGGTGGGGCCACATGCTCAGAGTCCGGGGGAAGCAGGCATTGGTGCGGGAGCTGTCCCTGCTGGGGCCAGTAGGGCTAGGGGACGACTTGACCAAACCCCCTAGGGCTTCCCTGGGACATCTGGGAAGCTCCCTCTCCTCCTTTCCCACAATACATCCTTCACCCTCTGCTCCGATCAGGTCCCCAGCTTCTCTCTCCCCTGGATGTGTTTTCCCACCCACCTCAGTGCCCCGTTGTCCAGTGCAGAACAGGAGAGCCAGGCCTCTGCCCTCAGTGAGCCCTCATGGCTGGCCTGGGGGGCCCCAAATGCCACTCCTCTTATGCCTCCCCACCGCCCAAGCCAGGCTCCCTCTTCCAGGTCCACTCTCAGCGGGCGGGCGGAAGCCTGAACCCCAGGAGGCCAGGGGTCCTCAGTGAGGAGGTGGGTGGGGTAGACCTCAGGTGGAGAGGACCTCCCACCAGCGTCACCACTGTCTCCACTTCACAGGAGGAAAGCAAGGCTCAGAGGGGGCAGGTCATTTGCCCAGGGTCACACAGCAAGTTAGCAGATGGCTGGGACTGGAATCCAAGTTGGAGAGACCCCCGTGATCATGTTCCATGAGTCTCTAGGCCAGTTGACTCCAGCAGTCCCCCTCCCCCTGCTGATGCCAGTAACAAGCTGTAAGCAGTTTTGCTCCTGGCCGCTCCGGCACCCGCCTCTCTCAGGGATGGAGTGGGAAGGCCCAGCCCCTCTGCCCTGGGTGGACGGGCTGTTCTCCCACATCTCCTTCCAGTGCTCAGAAGTCTGACCAAGATCCAGGGATAGAGGGGCCTTAACTCACACCAGGTGCCATCCCTGGCAAGGAGCCAACAGCTACTCCAACGTGGCCTCCCGGCTTTCAGAGCACTGTCCCCCACCTCAGCACCCCCTCACAGTCTCAGGAAAGACATGGGCCTTCCATCGACTGTAACTGACAAATTTATTGAAGTCTGGGAAAGAACCGATGGTTAGAGAATAAATAAAAGACAGAATGTTCACAAAACCAACAGGTAGCTTGGAATGCAGACTTGAGGGGTAACTCGGATTCATACGCGGCCGGCCTTTGTGTCCCTGGCCTGCCGCAGCAAAGCACCCGGCAGAGGAGGCAGGGCAGCTCAGAGGAGCCCTGCTCAGGCCTTCTTCAGCAAGTCGTCCAACCCTCCAGCTTGGCAGGGTAGTCGGCATGCAGTCCGAGCCCACTCTGCTAGGAGACGGGGAGCCAGAGGCTGTTTGGCAACCGAAATTGGTGGGCGGGGCCCAGCCTGGACGCTGAGGGCCTGGGGGCAGCTGTGAATGGGTGGGTGGAGCAGGGACAAAAACCTTGTCTGCGCTGCAAGGGAGCTCCTGATGGGCTTAGAGAGCCCGGCTCCTCCCGAGGGCAGTGAAGAGCCCCGGGGAGAGGGGTGAGGAGGCTCCTGGGGAAGGTGGGAGGTGGTGGCAGGAAGGCCCCCGGACGAGCCGGGAAAGACAGGTGTGGCCTCCCCACTGCTGCCTCCTGCCTGGACAGAGGAGGCCCAACTCTGACCTAAAGTCAGGGGGTGGGGGGCTGCAGAAATCAGACATATGGAGCCTGGGAAATGAAAGCACAATTAGTGTTAGTTTCAATTTTAGAAATTGAAGCATCTCCCAGCCTGAGGGCTGCGCTGGGCTGGGCTGGGGAGAGGTCCCAGCAGCAACAGAGCAGAAGCCTAGCCTCCTCCTAGCATTTCCTGTCTGGAAACAGCAACAAGCTCTCAGTTAGTCGGTCAAGAAAGGGAGAAATCTGCTTAAAAAACAAGGCCCACCAGGTGGGCCGGCCCCTGTCGGAGAAGGAGGAGCCATACAGACCGGAGCCAGGAGGGTCCCTCTGCCTGAGGGAGGGGCTGCCCGGTTGGACACTCTGCAGAAGCAAGCTCTCCCTGAGTCCTCATCCTGTCCCCTGCCAGTGGCACCACATCCTTCAGAGGTCCAGGGCTTTGGGAAAGGAGAGCTCGGCTCCAGACCACCCAGCCAGGGGCAGCACTGCTGCCCAGACCCCTCATGTCCGGTGTTCGTAGGAGCCGGGGTGCAGTCAGAACTGAGCGTGGTCCACCTCGTCTAGCCAGGAGGCGGGGCTGGCAGGGAAGTCGGGGTAGCCCCCGCTGCTCCCCGTGGATAGGTCAGAGCTGGGTCCGTTCCCCGCCAGCACCCTCATGGGTGGGGGCCCACCTGGGGCTCCCGCTGGCACGAGCCCCAGGCTGGCATCAGGGTATACCAGGCTGGAGAGGAGGGGCTGGGGGCCAGGGAGGCTCTGCAGGGCAGCAGGTGATGGGGGGACACCATAGGGGCTGCCAGGGCGCAGCTCTCGGTACTGCTCCGGGCCGGCAAGGCCTCCATGCTCCAGCGGGAAGCTGCCCGGGGCCCCGGAGGTCCGGCCCAAGGCCGGGGCAGGCTCTCCCAGGCTGCTGTAGAGGCCATTGGCAGGGCCCATCTCAGCCATGGATGGCTCATCTGCAGTGGAAGCAGAAGGCACTGCTTAGTGCCCACCCTCCACTACCTCTAGCCCCCCACAGTGCCCCTGCAGGGGTGACCTGCCCCACATCATACAACAGGTCAGCCCAAGTCTCTTCTGCTCTTAGAACTTGCCCTCTGCCCTCACCCCTCCACCCCTGAGTGTGTTCAGCTCAGCCTTACCCAATACCTAAGGAATGCTGGGCTTCCCTGGTGCAGTCAGAGCCCACTATGATCCCAAGGCTGCCTTGGGAGGGCTAGCACAGGTACCATCACCCCAATGTTGCAGACAAGTTAATTGAGACCCAGAGAGGATGGGCGAGTAGCCCAAAGTCACAATGCAGCCAAAGAGTCTCTTGTGCAAACTCTCTGAGGATGGACATTATGGAGGGATGGGTGTAGCTCAGCGGTAGAGCACATGCTTAGCATGCACGAGATCATGGGTTCAATCCCCAGTATCTCCGTTAAATAAATGAATAAATAAAAATATATACCTTCTCGGATTGTGAGGATGAGACAAGATCACGCAGATACTTAATAAACAGAAGAGGTTTGTTAAAAAAAAAAGGTGGGGTGAGGTCCCCCTGGTTTGGGTGAATGAGATAATCAGGTTCCACAGAGGAGTGTGGCCCCCCTAGCTCCAAGCATCTAGGACTTTCTATCACTTGGAAACTGTGCTGCCACTTCCCTAAAAAATCTCTGCAGATGCCAGGGTCCAAAGACAGGGTCCAGACCCTCCCTCCATGGCAAAGCCTGCTGAGGGACAGGCCCTCGAGTCACAGGGGTTCTGGCCCCATCCAGAAGAAGGTCATTGGTCCTGAGTGGCCAAACCACAGGGTCTATAAATGAATGTTCTATACGTGAAGCTAAAGAGGCCAGTGCCTAAGATATGCAGATTTCTAGGCTCCCTGCAACGGGTCAACCCAACGTTCCTCCCAACTCCGGGGCTGCCGCTCAGGGCGACGAGAGCGATGCGGCCGCCCCTGCCCGCCGTACCAGTGAAGGAGACCTCAGCATCGCTGTCCTGTCCCTCCTCCTGGACACTGTCCTTGTCCGACTTAGAGCCGCCACGGGCGCGCTTCATGTTACGGAAATACTGGCCCCAGCGCTGCCGGCCGGCGTCCTTCTTGAGCCTCTTCTCCTTGGCCCGGCGGTTCCTGGAACCACACCTGGGGGCGGGGGCGGGT